CGTATACAGTGACAGCTGCCAAACATCAACCGGCCCGGATATTTGCTTAAGCTTTGGACAATAACGTTTTATACTCTGCAGGAGAGGAGGAGGAGGAGGAGGAGGAAGAGTGGGACTTCAAATAGCTGTGAAGAAGTGGGGAAAACATAGAGAAGAGGATGCAGGAAAAGCAGAGTTTTTGCAATGGGTTGAAAAGTTGAAACAGAGGGATCAGCAGCCAAGGAGACTGAAAAGCACATCACACCAGCCGGCGAAACTAAAACCACAGGCGCTGTTTTGGTGGAGCTGGATGCATGCTTACGAAGTAAAACTCCTCCAGTCAACATGAGGGATATACAATGCAAATATGAACCCAAAAGTATAAATATATACGTAAATATTGTGAAAAATCACCATGTAAAACGTAGGGAGAATGAACTCACTGGCAATGCATTAAGAATACTTTTTGGGGCACTTTTAGCTCATGTAATTCAGATTTTCCAACATATATTATCATTGTGAACTCAAAATAAGTGAAATACGGGAAAATATAAACCCAAACGCGTAAATATATACAAAAATATTGGGAAATGACCATACAAAATGAAAGTGAGAGAAGACTTTTGAGGCAGCTTTAGCTTATGTAATTCAGATTTTCACACATCTTGTCATGGTCAACTACAATGGTGTGAAGTACCTCTACTCAAGTACTATAAGTGAAATACGATGAGAATATGAAGCCAAAAGTGTAAATATATACTTAAATATTGTGAAATTGCCATACAAAATGTAACACAGTGGGAATAAAACCCACTTTTTGTGCATTATGAAGACTTTTGCTGCACTTTTCACTCATGTAACTCAGATTTTCACACATCTTGTCATTGTCAACTTCAGTGGTGTGAAGTAACTCAGTACATTTACTCAAGTACTACAGTCAAAATGAGTGAAACACAATGAAAATATGAACCCAAAAGTGTAAATATATACATAAATGTTACGAAATGGCCCTATAAAATGTAACGCAGTGAAAATAAACCCACTTTTAGTACATTAGGGACACTTTTGGGGCACTTTTATCTCAGAGTTTCACACACTTTATCATGGTCAACTCAAAATGAGTGAAATACAATGCAAATATGAACCCAAGTGTAAATACATACTTAAATATTGTGGAATTGCCATGCAAAATGTAACAGAGGGAAAATAAACCCACTTTTTGTACATTCTGGAGACTTTTGCTGCACTTTTATCTAATTTAACTCAGATTTTCACACATATAATCATGGTCAGCTTACTTTTGTGATGATGAGTGGCTCTCCGTGCTCGAGCCCTCCTTTCAGCGTGAACCCCCAAGGTGCGCCCCCGCTCAACTGGACCTGAATGTGGAGGAAAGACACCAGCTGCTCCACGGTCTCCATTTCTCTCTCTCTGGTTATCCCGGTATTTCTCTCCGGTTCTCTCTCTGTCTGTCTTCAGTCCTCAGCGGAGCCGGTAGCGGTGCCTCGGCTTCTCCATCCCGGCTCTAACAACAACAAGGAGTGGATGGATGAATGGGGAGGGAGTGAGTGGAAGAAGAGGGGGAGGGAGCAAAAGTTTTAAACTAGTGTCAAGCTAGTTGGAGTTAGCATTGTTATGTCGTATGCTACTTCCGGTCAAGGCGGAAGAAAACGGAATTTAATTTTTTATCCGTCACAGTATTTATAAAATAAAAATAAGTCTAACATTGTAGAAAACTGTGTGGTAGTGGGTATTTACATAATAACATACAGATTCTTCAAGTCTACTTATGCATCTAAAAAGTTAATAAGTACGTAATAACGGTTTTATTTTTAAATCACACACTTCCGGTTACGTATGCTAGCTTGACGCAGCTTGAAACTTTGGTAATCGAGTGAAGTGATTGGCAGAGAGTTCAACCAATAGCAGAGAGGCTCTGACTTGTTGTGTCCAATCATGAATTAGGGGGGAGGGGCTTCAAGCAACAACCGCTGTATTGTAATAACACCAGGCAGGCGACTACAACTAAATAACAGAAACAGAAGTAAGTGGCTCGTTTGAAACATGAAACCCGCCACTTTGCAACCAACCCCTGGAAAAACTATTATCAGCTCAGTTAAAAAAAAAGTATTTAGAAAGCTATTGCATAAATATTACAGCAATTATTAAATATCTTTACTGACATTTTTTTAATTCCACAGTAAAAAGATCATTTTGGTTCCATCCGTTACTTACAGTACATTGAATGTAACAGGACTGGATGAAAGTTACTACTGTACAATTATTAAGTATTCCTACTTCACTTGAGTATTTCCACTCTTTGCTACTTTATGCTTCTACTTCAATAGATTACAGACACAAATGTTGTCTTATTTACGCCACTACTTTGTTGCTAGTGATTGTACTTTTACCTAATTGAATGTATGATTTTTGACTAGTAACAGAGTAGGCTACTTCTTCATTACTGTCAGGCACTGCATGCAAGTTTAATTTTGATACTTGAATATTTCAACTGTTGATAGATATACTCCCTCACATTGGTGCATTGCTACTAAATTCTGCAGGAAATATAGCATTTTGACAATGTGGTATTGCTCTGGTCAAAATGAATTTTCTTTATTTTTAGCTGAACGCACATGTTGTCAAAGCCGCCATTCATGCACACAGTGAACAAGTACAGAACATACTACTGCCGTCCAAAGACAACATCTGCTATCACATCCCACACATTTCTAAACTCTTACCAGTCGTACCAGTCAGCATGTCTCACCACCATATTAAGACATACTCAAAAAAGCAGTTAACAAGCAGTCCCTAATGTAGCATATTGTATATAACAATTAAAGTATTAAACCCAAAAAAGTATGTTTCTGTTTGTAATCAAGCCTCCTCATATAGCTGTTGGATATATGCATGCCCACGTCTGCGTGATTAAAATAATAATGAGAAAGAAGATGACTCAGTATTTCTAAATCAAGAGCTTTCTCATAATAATGACTTAGTATCGCAAAATAAGTTTCACATCATTTGAGAATATATTTTGCAATACTAAGTCATTATTTTGCTATTTTAAATCATTATTTTGCAGTGTCAATATTTCTTTGATTCTGAGTCATTATCTTTGATATACTTTATCATTGTTTTTGCAATACTAAGTCATCAAAGGTCTTTTTTCACCATAAGGCGAATGAAAAGAATGCAAAAACTTCTAGGTTTTGAAGTCAAACTTTTGTTTTCTGCCTGTTTTTGACAAAGTTATTTATGTAATCAAACGTTTTTCTGCCTGACTGAAGCCCTTATAGCCATGCATTGTTTTCCCCCCATAGTCTGTAAATCTTTCCCACACTCTCTCTGCAGACTGAAATGATCGGGATTGGAGATAATCACTGTTGTGGAATGTCCCCACGCTGCAGTGCCCACTTAACTGAATGTGTGTGCGAACGAGTGACAATCTGTGTGTGTGTGTGTGTGTGTGTGTGTGTGTGTGTGTGTGTGTGTGTGTGTGTGTGTGTGTGTGTGTGGAGAGAAAGAACAAGTAAAGGAGAGAAGAGAATCAAAGATGCAAACATGCCCAGACATCTCACTCCTCATCCCGACCCACGAGCCGTTTGTTTCGATTTGATCAGGCCACCTTTTTTCTTCCTTTTAAACTATTTTGTGTTTTTAGAAACTGTAATATTTGGGTTTGTGGTGAGTGCTGCTTTCTTCTTGTATTTCTTCTACTGAAAAGTCAGAAGATCCCAAAGCTCTCAAACTACACAAAAACAAAACAAACATATCAAACCGACTGAAACCAGAGGCAGCAGATATAGTCTGGGAGGAAACAAAAACAATGCAAACCACATGTATTTTTACCCCAGACTGAGATGGAAAGTGTTCAGATCCTTATCTTAAGTAAAAGTACAAATAACAAAGTCTAAAATACTAAACCAGTCAAAACCAGTCACATTCATATTGTGTATTATCAGCTCAGCACATGTCATTTTAATACAAGTACAATTTAGAGTAATTGTTTACCACCTGATGGCACCATAGAGAGATATGTGCACCTCTCACAGATCAAACTGAAAACCTTGTCAAACTTATCAAATGTTGTGTTTTTTCTTTGATATCCAAAATGTAAACTTTGTTTATCTTGACCTTATATATTAAGTGATTAAAAGAAGTTAGTATGTGTTTAGCTAATGCCTGATAGTATATAGCTAAAAAAAAAATGTTATACTTAACAAAACAAAATGGGATAAGTTGCTTTACCTGATATAGTTTATTAATTATTTGTTGCTTGTTCAACTGTGGACGACTTACAACTCTGTGTTAAGTTGATCTTGAGTCAAGTTATAAAACTTTAGATGCTAGTAAAGTAACACATTTAGACGATATCATTTTGAATATTAAGTCATCCATAGAAACATAACACTTAATAATAATGGCACAATATGTAGATATTTAAAAAAGAGAATGGTTGCACTAAAGAATAAGTCATTACATATGTATGTGAACACTTAATTGTTTAATAATAAGAAAGTATATGGTAAAATGTAGAGAACAAGTATGTGCATTTATATTAAATATTCTGTGTGATAAATGAATCACCAAAACAGTCCAGGATAGATACAATTATTCATACTTACTGATGTTGTTTTTTTTGTACATTTAGTTACATTTTTGGGGATATTTCATATTCATAGAAAGAGATGGGATGACTCCAACCCTAATGTTCAACTAAAACAATATAGTAGCACTTTTAAAAACATTATGAATAAGAAGGCAATCAAAACGAATTGTGTATTTAACAATGATTGAATCTGAAATATTACTGTATTTTTTTTAATTTACTTTATGTCATTACTTTTTACGTCTAGTTCTGATGTGGACTTTGTTATATACAAAAAAGATGATGTTCATTATGCTCTTTAAAAAAAAAGCACAAGTCGCCATCTTGCTTATCTTACGCACCTTCACGCACAGGTCACGTGACTCCCTTACGCTACTTTCGGCGTCTCGCGCACACCAGACGGGTTAATTGGGTTCGCCGTCAATTTCAGGAAGTTGATAGTCATGTCTAAAACGGCCAGAGGACAGGCGAGCCTGTAAATCAGAAAAGTTGCCAACTTTAGCCTCTTTTGGTGGAGCTCACTAGTAGCACCAGAGGTTTTTTATATATTTATCCCAAAATGAAGGCGACCGGTGTGTGCCTCCTGTCCTGTTTTATCTTCCTCTTGTACTCCACCTGCACCGGGGTGTTGGCCGGAAAGAACATGGCCTCCCATCGCCGCACACCGAAGAGAAACCGGCGGAGTCAACAGAGCTCCTCGAGGCACAAAGGCGCGCACCACCGGCCGCTGACGCACGAGCAGAAAGCGGACCAGAACCTGCAGTTCATGTTGAGTCTCTACCAAAGCGCTGCAGAACCGGACGGCAGGCCCAAACAGCACCGGAAGTTCGGCTCCAACACGGTGCGACTCCTGAGACCCTCCGCGACCTCGGTGCACTACTTGCCGGCCTCCAGAGGTGAGTTACTGCGGGGACTAGTGTAGGAGCCAAAATGCTACTTAGCCTGAGTTTATTATTTGTATTATTATTATTTGTTTACGAAACTTTTATTTGTATTTGTTGAGCACATCCGGCAATCGTCACATGGGTGTGGTTTGTGTATTTAGGTCACCTGTTTCATGTCGGGTGAGCTTGTAATGACATTTTTTCTGTTGACCGTTTTTGTCCCCCTAAGTTATTGTGCGTTTTGATTTTGTTTGTTAAATATCTTCAACCTATCTTACTTCAGTACGGACTTTCTCTGATAGCTCTAGCTGAAACATGTATCCAAAGTGACTTACAATAAGTGCCTTCAACCATGAAGAAACAAACTCAAAAGCAAGAATCCTGCAGGTACATTTCTTATCTATAAACCCAACCAGATTAAGTGCTCCTGCTTTAGCTTCACTTAAAGCCAAATCCTTTGTAAGTGCTGCATTCAGAAGAGATTCTACTTGTGGGTTATCTGTCGCCACTTTTTAGTTTTTTTCAGACTCTCTAAATAACCCTAACCCCTAGGATTAATGTTTTGTTATTTTGAGAAATGAAAAAGTTCATGTGGAGGAGCTAGCTACCCGCTATTAAAAAGTGGCGACACTACAGATAACCCACAAGTACCGAGATTCTTATTTATTTTTTAGCAAAGATGCAGTCCAAACGGGTGAGACTGAATATTGTTTCTTTCTCTCCTTCAGATTACCACTACAGCTTCACAGTCCAGTACAACCTCGACACTCTTCCCTCGGAGCAGCTGATCAGAGCCTCGTTCATCCACCTCCGCTCTTCCTCTCCCTCCTCCACTTCCTCCGCCTCCTCTCCCCGGGCCTCTGAGCCTCCGCGCTGCAGGGCTCAGATCACCTCGCTGGGCAAAGACAGCGTTGTGACACTGGAGCCCCACGAAAGATGGTCTGAAACCGACATCACCGCTCACCTGCAGCAGAGGAAACAAAATGGCGCCGGGGGCCACCTCACCCTCACCGCCCGGTACTGGTGCACCGAGCCTTGGAAGGAAGACGGCAGGTACTCGTCGTGGTGGCTGAGTCTTCGAGGGGGGAAAAGATGGCGAGGGGCGCTTCACCTGGATGTCCCGGCTCTTCTTTTGTACCTGGAGCAGGAGCGGGATGTGAGGGATTACCTGTTTGAGGCAAAAGGTGAAGAAGTCATGAAGCGACTGCATCACTTTCATCCTTCTTTCAGCCGCCAACGACGATCCAAAGAACTCCCGTCTTCAGACACATCAGTGGATGTCCTGAAGAACTCCCCAACGTCCTCCTCGTCTTTCTCCAACGCCCCTTCGTCCTCCGCCGACTTCCCCAACGAGAAACGTAAAACCAGCATGCCGAAGAACCACTGCAAGCTGCACTCGTTCCGCCTCTCCTTCGATGAGCTCGGTTGGAGGAACTATATCGCGCCGCCGGTGTACAACCCGCGTTTCTGCCAGGGAAACTGCCCGAGGTTACTGACGTACGGCTTCCAGTCCCCGAGACACGCCATCATCCAGACCATCATCAACGACCAGGGCGTGGGGGATTTACCGCCTTTATCCTGCGTGCCTTTTAAGTACATGCCCATTAGCGTGTTGGTGGTGGAGAAGAAGATTGTGGAGTACAAGGAGCTGGAGGACATGGTGGCCGAGTCGTGCACATGTCGCTGAACACTCGCACTGAAAGACTACAAGAAGGGAGGGCAGATTTGGCGGGTCAGTCTTTGATCTACTAACCATAATGAGCTCGAGACTGAAGCAGGAAGTCGTTGTGGTTTCAGATCTTCCCCGTCCCTGTGAAAGCACTTTAAAAAGAAGAAGAAGCAGCCGCGAGAGGATTTACTGGTGTTCCTTTTGTTCTGTAGAGCACTGGGAAAAGTTGTGAGTGTGCTGTTTGCAATATTTATAATGTCACTTATGTATTTTTCCTAGGGAGCTGATGAATGTGGAAGCATTTTAAGCTACTTGAGTGTAATTTAACATGCTAAACCTAACTTCCAGGGTAATCTGATACAATTGATTAAACATCAGGGGTACCTATTTTAAGAAAAATGATCCATCTTCAACGTCTAACCTCAAACCACAGCCATGTAATGATTTTGTTTTTCTTGTGCCTGTTTATATATTCGTCTTTTGTTCTTCTGCATCGTTCTTTTACAAAACCTGATCTGTGTTTCTTCTTCAGAGCCAGATTCTCCCAAAAAAATAGTGTAAAAAACATTTCTGGATATAATGTGATGGCAATGATTGAGGCCACTGAGTTTATGCGCTATAAAAAAGTATTTTAAAGGACAAAGTTACCGTTAAGGCCTTGTGACGTCGTACTTTTGCTGTTTACAGTCATAACTTTTCCATTTTGTATGTATTTATAAACTTAAAAAAAAGGCTGTTATTGGCTGAACTGTCTTAGAAAAAAAACATAAAATTAAAGATTAAGAAAATATAACTGTTGAATGTTAAGAACGATAAACGGTAATGTTGGAGTGGAAAGGAATGCAATTTTTATTACCAGTGAATATGAATTATGAAATAAAATGCATGTTTTCTAAAACCTAAGTTACTGTCATTTTTTAGGATGTCGAAAAGTGTATTCTGTGTCTTTTAAAATTGTAATTATTTTCAGGTTCATATCAGTATGTAGTGTCTACTTTAAAGAGTCCTCTCCTGCTGATGTTCAGGTGTATATCAGTATGTAGTGTCTCTACTTTAAAGAGTCCTCTCCTGCTGATGTTCAGGTGTATATCAGTATGTATTGTCTCTACTTTAAAGAGTCCTCTCCTGCTGATGTTCAGGTGTATATCAGTATGTAGTGTCTACTTTAAAGAGTCCTCTCCTGCTGATGTTCAGGTGTATATCAGTATGTAGTGTCTCTACTTTAAAGAGTCCTCTCCTGCTGATGTTCAGGTGTATATCAGTATGTATTGTCTCTACTTTAAAGAGTCCTCTCCTGCTGATGTTCAGGTGTATATCAGTATGTAGTGTCTCTACTTTAAAGAGTCCTCTCCTGCTGATGTTCAGGTGTATATCAGTATGTAGTGTCTCTACTTTAAAGAGTCCTCTCCTGCTGATGTTCAGGTGTATATCAGTATGTAGTGTCTACTTTAAAGAGTCCTCTCCTGCTAATGTTCAGGTGTATATCAGTATGTAGTGTCTCTACTTTAAAGAGTCCTCTCCTGCTGATGTTCAGGTGTATATCAGTATGTAGTGTCTCTACTTTAAAGAGTCCTCTCCTAATGATGTTCAGGTGTATATCAGTATGTAGTGTCTCTACTTTAAAGAGTCCTCTCCTGCTGATGTTCAGGTGTATATCAGTGTGTAGTGTCTCTACTTTAAAGAGTCCTCTCCTGCTGATGTTCAGGTGTATATCAGTATGTAGTGTCTCTACTTTAAAGAGTCCTCTCCTGCTGATGTTCAGGTGTATATCAGTATGTAGTGTCTCTACTTTAAAGAGTCCTCTCCTGCTGATGTTCAGGTGTATATCAGTATGTAGTGTCTCTACTTTAAAGAGTCCTCTCCTGCTGATGTTCAGGTGTATATCAGTATGTAGTGTCTCTACTTTAAAGAGTCCTCTCCTGCTGATGTTCAGGTGTATATCAGTATGTAGTGTCTCTACTTTAAAGAGTCCTCTCCAGCTGATGTTCAGGTGTATATCAGTATGTAGTGTCTCTACTTTAAAGAGTCCTCTTCTGCTGATGTCAGTATGTAGTGTCTCTACTTTAAAGAGTCCTCTCCAGCTGATGTTCAGGTGTATATCAGTATGAAGTGTCTCTACTTTAAAGAGTCCTCTCCTGCTGATGTTCAGGTGTATATCAGTATGTAGTGTCTCTACTTTAAAGAGTCCTCTCCAGCTGATGTTCAGGTGTATATCAGTATGTAGTGTCTCTACTTTAAAGAGTCCTCTCCAGCTGATGTTCAGGTGTATATCAATATGTAGTGTCTCTACTTTAAAGACTCCTCTCCAGCTGATGTTCAGGTGTATATCAGTATGTAGTGTCTCTACTTTAAAGAGTCCTCTCCAGCTGATGTTCAGGTGTATATCAGTATGTAGTGTCTCTACTTTAAAGAGTCCTCTCCTGCTGATGTTCAGGTGTATATCAGTATGTAGTGTCTCTACTTTAAAGAGTCCTCTCCTGCTGATGTTCAGGTGTATATCAGTAGTTAGTGCCTCTACTTTAAAGAGTGCTCTCCTGCTGATGTTCAGGTGTATATCAGTATGTAGTGTCTCTACTTTAAAGAGTCCTCTCCTGCTGATGTTCAGGTGTATATCAGTATGTAGTGTCTCTACTTTAAAGAGTGCTCTCCTGCTGATGTTCAGGTGTATATCAGTATGTAGTGTCTCTACTTTAAAGAGTCCTCTCCTGCTGATGTTCAGGTGTATATCAGTATGTAGTGTCTCTACTTTAAAGAGACCTCTCCTGCTGATGTTCAGGTGTATATCAGTATGTAGTGTCTCTACTTTAAAGAGTCCTCTCCTGCTGATGTTCAGGTGTATATCAGTATGAAGTGTCTCTACTTTAAAGAGTCCTCTCCTGCTGATGTTCAGGTGTAGATCAGTATGTAGTGTCTCTACTTTAAAGAGTCCTCTCCAGATGATGTTCAGGTGTATATCAGTATGTAGTGTCTCTACTTTAAAGAGTCCTCTCCTGCTGATGTTCAGGTGTATATCAGTATGTAGTGTCTCTACTTTAAAGAGTCCTCTCCAGATGATGTTCAGGTGTATATCAGTATGTAATATAGATTAGATTTACCAAACATAATACAATTTCAATATGAAAAGAGATTATGTTAAATTGAAATCAATACAATACAATCAAATTGTTTCTTAACGCGACATATCTTAAGAAAACTGTCCAAATTGTAAGTAGTTTGGTTCATGAATTGAAAGCTTGTAAGAAGATTGTGCAGCAACATATCCTACAAAGCATTCCTCTTAAATAACACACCATAGTTATAGTTTATTCGGGCAAACATTTCGTAATAGATTGTGAGAAAATCTGTACCGAAGTGACTTTATTGTTCATATAACAAAACATATGGGAGAGTGCGTTATTGCATTCAGTCCAGCAGATGGTGCTCTTTGCTAAAACAACATAATTAACTTTCACACACGTCAAAAATCCAGCCATGGTCCTGGTTTGTACTTGAATGCGAAGTGTGTGTGCATGTTCCTTGTTGCACGCAGTGATCTCTGTGGCCTCTAAACATGTTCCTAAACAGTTTTCTGTTTGCCTCTTACTCTTTGTTAACCTCACTATCAGCAGAGAGCCTTTGAGGTCATGTGGGTTTACACAATGGAAGAAGTCCCAAGATAAGTGACTGTGGTTCCAACTGCAAGGGAAGGTTAAATAACTCAAAAGATAAAACAAGAATGTGTTTGTGTTCATGCAGTGATTGCAAACCTCACTCTCGAGATGAAATGAACACATCCCTGGCTTGTATGACGTCGATAATACAATGAAAAAAACTCATTTAAGTATTTTTCGTACTGATTTTTGGAAGTATTATGGTTGATAAGTTAAAGCAAAATTACATTACATTACATTTAGCTGACGCTTTTATCCAAAGCGACTTACAATAAGTGCGTTCGACCAGGAAGACACAACCTTGAAGAAAACAGAATCATATAAGTACATCAGGTTTCATAGAGCCAAACATTTCAAGTGCTACTCAACTGGCTTTAGATAAGCCAGTCCTTTATTAGTATATAAGTGCTTCGTTAATAGTTCTATCGCTCGAAGTGGAGTCGAAAGAGATGAGTTTTCAGTCTGCGTCGGAAGATGTGCAAGCTATCTGCCGTCCTGATGTCAATGGGGAGCTCATTCCACCATCTTGGAGCCAGGATAGCAAACCCACGTGTTTTTGCTGATGGGAACTTGGGTCCCCTTCGCAGCGAGGGTGTAGCGAGTCGTTTGGCTGATGCAGAGCGTAGTGCACGTGCTGGGGTGTACGAAGGGCCGGATCCATTCGCAGCATGGTAAGCAAGTACCAGTGTCTTGAAGTGGATTCTAGCAGTTACCGGAAGCCAGTGAAGGGAGCGGAGGAGCGGAGTGGTGTGGGAGAATTTAGGAAGGTTGAAGACCAGACGAGCCGCTGCATTCTGGATGAGCTGCAGAGGTCGGATGGCACATGCAGGTAGACCAGCCAGGAGGGAGTTGCAGTAGTCTAGGCGTGAGATGACGAGAGCCTGGACCAGAACCTGAGTCGCTTTCTGTGTCAGCTGGGGAGGTATCAAAATCCTCCATTTCCTACCAAACCTATCTGCAAAAAAGGCCGATGTTTAAGACAAGTGTAGCGGCAATAACTCCCTATGAGTTAGCTGCTGAGAGGCTAAACTTGGCTTTAAACTGTGACGCGTTTTCGAAAAGAAAGTCCATGTTGAAGCAATATAGTTGTAAGGATATTTAATAAACAAAATCAAAACATAGTAACTATGGACAAAACGGTCAACAGACAAAATGACAGCCCAAGCTCACCCTCTGTCATTTGCACTCCACATCAAACAGGTGATTTATAAACCAAACCACACCCATGTGACAATTACCGGAAGTGCTCAACAAGCAAATAAAGGTGACGTAAATAATAATGATAATACAAATAATGAACTTGAGCTAAGTAGTGTTATGGCACCTACAACAAGAGCTGCAATAATTTCGTCTTTAAAACATGAAGGAATGAACAGATTATAGATCTATTGATTGATTGATGCATTTATTTCGAACAAGTAAAATAAATAATTACAAAACAAAACAAATGTTGCAGTGCATAGTCATGTAAGAGAAATAAAAACAAAAAATGACATGTACAACAACAGCATTAGCAACATAAACGGTGCCACATCTAGTGTTTGATTTTTTTTTAATCTCACCCCCTTGTCCCTAAATGATTTATTTATAATCTATAATCTGCAATAATTATCATTTTTATGCATTATTATTGTTATTATTATTATTATTATTATTATTATTAATCTGCTTTACCTGTTGATTGACATATATACATATACACACATACATACACTGATATACATATATGCACACATACATATACACACCTACATTTATGGCAATTGTGGGTTAAAAAACTGGACAGTCATTGCAAGTAAGTCGTAAGTGAGTTTTATGAGTAGAGTAATAAGAAACAAATCTGTAATTGAGTCTTTTATATTGATATGATCTGCCTGAGGATCTGTTACTGTAACATTCTGTGTATACGGTTTTACGGGACCTCCCTGAATCTTTCATCGAGCGATTTGGGATGTGTGTGTCCTTCTCGTCCTAATCTCCTCTGACCAGGGACGTGCACAGACATTTGGAGGGGCTATTGCTCTAAACTGGAAAAAGGGCGCTAAATTCGTTATTCAGGCACATTTTTTGTTTTGCGGATTAGGCATTATTCTTATTCTTATCATTCTTTATCAGCGCAGTAACGGTAAGGTATCTAATTACTTATTTAGTATTCCATAACTTAATAACAGAGATGGTCAAACTAAAGTGGTAGAGACATGGCAGAAATCCTACAATGAAGCGGGACATGAACTGTTCTCCCGTGAGAGGGCG